ATTTTTATTTTTGCTAGTACTGGGGCTTGAACTCTGGGCCTGGGCTCTATCTCTAAGCTTTTGTGCTCAAGGCTAGTGCTCTACCACTTGAGCCACAGCTCTATTTCCAGATTTTTCTGTGATTAATTGAAGATAAGAGTCTCCTGGCTGGGCAAAGGTGGCTCACACCTATAATCCTAGTTACTAAGGAGGCTGAGATCTGAGGATGGTGGTTCAAAGCCAGCCTGAGCAGCAAAGTCTGTGAGACTCTTATCTCCGTTTAACCACCAGAAAGCTGGAAGTGGCTCAAGTGGTAGAATGCTAGCCCTGAGTGAAGAAGTTCAGGGACAGTATCCATACCCTGAGTTCAAGCCACACTACCAACCAAAAAAAAATTTTCCTGCACTTTCCTGCCCTGGGTCAAACCGTAATCCTCAGATCTCAGCCCTTTGAGTAGCTAGGATTATAGGTGTAAGCCACAGGTGTTTGGCTGTATACTACATCTGATTTCAAATAAACTTGCTCTGGCTGCTTTAAGCATTTTCTTGCCTTTTAATTCTTTAATCAGCATAGAAACAAACACAGGCCCCTGTGATGGAATCTGAGCAATGGGTGGGAGGATGAAGGAGGTGGTGATCTAGGTATCTGCATGTGGATGTGGAAGCTTCTCAGTCACTCTTCAGGTTGCTTGCAACTAAGGATGAAGAAGAATGTGAAGTAAGGGCTCCAGCCCAGCCAACTTGGAATGGGGAGCTGGAGGAAAGTAAAGATCTATGGTAGGAATTTTGCCCACAGGTACTTGTTTCTGCTTTTGAAATGTGTTTTTAAAAAGTCAACATACATATTTCATACACACGTTTTATTTAGACATATCTATTTTACACATATCTCACAATCCAACTACAGTGGACCCTTTCTACCCATAGGCTCCACATCTGTAGATTCAACTACCATGAACCCAAAGTATCAGGAAAAAATATATTACATCTGGACTAAACATATATAGCTCTTCTCTTGATAGGATTCATAAAAGAACATGACATAACTATGAATTTTAGAACAGTTATAGTGCATTCTGTGAAAAGTGGGATCATTTAGAGTATACAGGAGGCATGTAAGTGAATAGTGCACAATTCATAAAGGGGTATCTACAGGTTACGCAGTGGGAGCTTCGGAAACCAGGGATGACTCTGCCAAAATGTAATAGAGATTTGCTGAGAGCAAAGATCTTGTCCAGAAATCTCAAATTCCAGGGCTGGGAAGGTGGCTCAGGGGTAGAGTGCTTGCCTTGCATGCCTGAGGCCCTGGGTTTGATTCCTCAGCACCACATAAGCAAAAAGAAAGAAGCCAGAAGTGGTGCTGAGGCTCAAGTGGTAGAGCGCTAGCCTTGAGCTGAAAAGCTGAGGGACAGCACCCAGGTCCAGAGTTCAGGCCCCATGACCGCACCCAAAAAAAAAAAAAAAAAAAAGAAATCTCAAATTCCAGTGTGGCCATAACAAAAGAAGGGTTGGAGTTGGGGTCTAAAAACATGCATTCATTATCAAGTAGCTCACATGGAGAAGCAGCTCTTGATTCTCACGTTCACTTTGTAACAACTCACCTTAGTCTCTTCCAAAGTTAGTATGCAAAAAAAAAATTAGCATTCAATCAAGTTAAAAATTTGATTGTAGCTACACATGAGGTAGAGATGGAAGGACTGTGGTCTGAGGTTAGGCCGAGTGAACAAAAGTCTTCAGATTCAAAACACAATCCAAACATGATAGCACACATTTGCAATCCTAGCTATAAAGGAGGTGTATGTAGAAATATTCAAATCCAGCCTCAGGGGAAGAATTGATTAAACACAAAATAAAGAATATGCTTTTGCTATCTCTTGTAATTTTTAATGTGTTGTTACACTCCTGAATATTCACTTTGGAACTCTTTGGCCTATATAAAGCACCATGACATAGTCTGGTATTAAGAGAGCAGAGACCAACAACATGTAAATTGAACATATGATAGATATTTCTCTAAACATTACTATCTCTTAGAGAGGAGTCAAAGAAGCCTCAGAGAGGGTAGAAGAGGCAGGGGGAGAGGGAGGTAAGCTGCAAAACGATCCTTTCCTTTCAGCTTTACCTTCAAGATTGGAAGATGCAGCACCTTTATTCCGGAAGAACAAACTGTGAGGGCCACAAAAATCCGTAAGACTTATCAGCACTGAGCAGTAGAAAAGCTGCTTTCATTTTCCCCCACCAAGACTAATAGCAAACATGTATGTCACATCACAACCCAGCACATTCATAGCACTCAAGTGTATATAGTACCCCCACTGCACACACAAATGTGTGTGAGCTCATTTGTAGATATATGGAAAATGGAAATGATTTGTAAACCACTACTGGCCATCACCATGTGAGATGCTGAGTTTCTATGCGCAGCTCTTTCTTTTCTTTCCCTTTCTTGTTTTCTCCTTTCTTTTTTCCCTTGATGACACTGTGCATGATTTTGCCTTTTTGTTTGGGAAGTTCTGGGGTCTGTTAGGATTCCAGTAATTTTTAGTGGGAAAGAACAAAGGATCTAGAGATGGAAAAAAAAAAAAAAAAGCTTGCTCACTAATTTCTTCCTCGGGTAGTAACTCTTTTAATATTGCCTGTCTTAGCATCCTTCAGAGAAGCTTTAACTACCTTAGTGGTTGGTGCTCAGTAGAATGTACTAACCAGATTTTCTAATTGTGGCATGGTGACCTGCATGTGGCATGTTCACTTCTGCTCAGGTGTGTTCATCTCTAACCAGAATTCTACTGATGGGTGAAATCATTCTCTTTGCAAAATCTAACCAGAATTCTACTGATGGGTGAAATCATTCTCTTTGCAAACTACTCTTACCTTCAGTGCTGCCAGCAGAGGTTTGAGCTGATTTCCCAGATCCTGAAAAAAACCAAGAGTAGAAGGGAAATATTAGATATAGATTGAGATGTTGAGATGTTATTTTCTTAGATGGTTCCCCAGAATACCAACTCAAAAGAAACTGGACAAGGCAAAGTTTACATTTGCAGAAAAGCACACCCCAGCCAAAACATCTAGCAAGCAAGCACACAGACCAGGCAGGCTGCCCCCTTTTTATCGCTAACCCCGAAGGCTCCACCCCTCTGCTCACATTGGCTGAGCTCAGGTTCACAATCTGCAGAAGGATGTGATTTAATTCACAGGATGTAACAAACATTCAAGGAACTTCTAACAGGATGTCTTAAGTGCAGCAGGAAAAGGATGTAACTGAAATGTAATTAACAAAGCCCAAGCCACCTGGCCAAAGCAGGAACCTTTCAGAAAAACAATTCTTACAAGATTAACAGAAAAGAAACAAATTACTTTCATAGAATAGAGGCTTTTCTCATAGAAAACACTCAATTCCCCATTCCTGCTCAGTCCCCATTCCTGCTCTGCTCAGTTCTGTGCAATCTACATCAAAAGAAAGATAACTATTTCTATTTTTCAACAGTTATTTTCAGAACTTGTAAAGGAACTAAGAGACCCAAATGACTCAATGTTTTGCATAATCAACTTTGTCTAGTCACCTAGCAAGCTTCAATTTCATCACAAGTATTTTATTATGTGCAATAAAAATAATCACGAGTTTGTTTGCTGTTGTGAACTGACCATTTGGCCTTGAGAAGCATAATGAAGTCAATTGTGTGTCACTTTTCATCACACAGAAGAAAACAATTCATCTTACCCTTGTCATCAAAATCTTTACATCTCCATAAAGTAAAACGGTTCAATGTAAATTGTTCTACTTAGCATCTTTATCATGTGTCTTATTAACAGTATCTTCCATGGCTTAAGGATACTGTCAGAGGGCTGGGAAGGTGGCTTAGTGGTAGAGTGCTTGCTTTGTATGCATGAAGCCCTGGGTTCGATTCCTCAGTACCACATAAACACAAAAAGCCAGAAGTGGTGCTGTAACTCAAGTGGTAGAGTGTTAGCCTTGAGCAAAAGCTTCAAGGACAGCACCCAGGTCCAAAGTCAAAGCTCCAGGACTGGCAAAAAAAAAGTCTTCCCAGACTTTGGGCTGGGAAGGTGGCTCAGTGGTAGAATGCTTACCTTGCATGAATGTGGCCCTGGGTTCGATTCCTCAGCACCACATATGCAGAAAAAGCTGGAAATGGCGCTGTGGCTCAAATGGTAGAGTGCTAGCCTTGAGCTAAGAATACTGTCAGATTCTTGGCAAATTAACTCTCTTCCAAGATACTTTCATGATTACTATTATTTTAATGGGTAAAATTACTAACCTCAGCGTTTTTGCAGCTCTAAAGTAATAGATTGACTTTTATCATAGTTCTTCTGAGTATAATCACATTGTCACCTAGTGAATGCCTGAGAGTAGGTATCTATCAATCACAAGTGGGGAAACAGACATTAATTTGAATAGATTCTCATTGACTAGACAGGACAACATAAGCATTAAAAATGACAATAATGATAGAATTAGGTGCTGTAGCTCACGTCTGTAATGCAAAATATTCAAGAGGCTGAGATCTGAGGATAGAGGTTCAAATCTGAGACACTTGTATCTCCAATTAACCACCAAAAAGCTGAAAATGGAGGTGTGGTACAATGCTAGCACAAAAGCTAAGGGAAGCACACAGGCCACTAGTTCAAGCGCCCCCCCCCACACACAAAATTAAGTATAAAGTACTTGCTACACATACATTCACATTAGAAAGTTAACGTGTCCATCCTTACTCTTTTATTTCCCTTCCAATGAAATTGCACTCTGCTCCCATTAATTGAAGAAAAAAAAAAAAAGGAGCTTAAAACAATGACACTGGGCGTCCAGAGGCGCCTAGTTGAACTGCGCATGCTCAGTCGCCAGGCAGATTTGTCCGCGGAGTGGAAATCACACCAGCGCGTACGGGGGCGGGACGGACATGGGCGTGGCCTCGTGGAATTTAGAACGGGGCCTCAGCCAATGGAGCCTCGCGTCCGGCGGCCGGAGCTCCTCATTGGAGGATCGGCCGGCGAGCGAGTGGAGGGCCGGGGGCGGGAGGGAGCCCTGGGGTGCGGGTCGGGAGGCCGGGCTGCGCGGTGCCACGTGCGGGAGGGAGCGGCGGACTGCACATCCAGGCGGCACCCGGCGGGGCGGCGGCGCCCGCGGACCCAGCCAGCGGCTTGTACTTTCCTCCCCCCCGACCACACAGTCATTATGCCGAAGAGAAAGGTAAGTCAGCCTAAAGGGAGAGTCGGGGAGAAGGCTGCTGCCCAGGCCTTCGGCGGTGCGCACGCACGGCTGGTGTGGTGGCGTGCGCGGGAGCAACTCGGGCCGGGCGCTCCCGGATGCCTGTTGCGGCCCTCGCCCGTCCCCGCTCCGTCCGTCCCCGCTCCGTCCGTCCCCGCGTCCGTCCCCGGCGTCACGCCCTCTCCGGCCGGCCGCTCCCGGTCCGGGGGCCCGTCCTCCCGGGATGGGGTCCGCGGCCTCCGCGGGGCCGGGTTCTCCGCCCCCTCCGCGGGAGGAGTTCCCTCCGCGCCAACTCCGGGCCCCGCGGGCGGCGGGGAGCGGGAAGGGGAGAGAAACGACGGGACGGGAGGCGGGCTAGCCGAGGTCGGGGTGACCCCGGAGCGGGGCCCGCGGGGGAGGGCGGGAGGGCCGCCCGGACCCCCACCCCGCGCCCACACCCTCCTCCCCGCGTCCGCCAGGCCGGGCCCGCGGCGCGGGGCCTGGAGCCAGCAGGGCGCCGAGGGCGCGAGCGGGGCCGGACCGGGGCCATTGCCTCTCCGGGGCCGGCGGGGAGGCCGCGGGGCGGGCGCTCAGGGCTCCTCCAGCCTCCGAACCCAGGGAGCCGGCTCGGAGTCTCTCCTTCCGCTCCCCTTCGGTGCTCCCGCGCGGGTACTGAGGACCGCGCGTGGGGTCCCAGATGTGGCTCAGGGTCGGGGTTTCGAGCAGGCAGTGACCCAGTCAGGGAAGGGTAGGGTCCCCAAGAAAATGGGGATCTCAAGTCAGCCAGGAGGAATATTCGATTGGAAGCCTTATTGCAAATAATAATATTCTCTTTCATCAGAGACATGGTGGTGATGATGGTGGTGATGATGGTGGTGGTGGTGTTTGATTACATTATTTAAAAATATTGGAGGTTTAAAAATTCAGTACCATTTGCCTTCTTACTAAGAATTGGGGGCAAACATACCTTCTCCACTTACTATTTTTTTAAAAAAGAAGGCATAGTAATTAAAGTAGTATTTTTAATGCTTAGTATTCAATGTGTTCCTACTCTGCACCATATGACTTGGAGTCTTTTATTCATGTCTCAGAATAGGTTGATCAAGGATGGAGTTCATAAGCACAAAAACTGTCTAAATATCACCGATCATTAGTTAATAGCCAAGAAGCCGATGTAGCATATCCCAGAATCCTCTCCCAACTAGTCTTTGCTCCTCTTCCCTTGTGGAGGTGGTTGAAATTTAAGAATTAGGAAATAGGAAGGTGCTGGTGGCCTGAGAAGATGAGACTTGAGCAAACTCAATATTTAAACTTAATTTCGAAAGCCCTATCATTTTTTCTAGGATGGTGGTTTTGGAACAAGGCTATTAAGGTGATGGCCTGATTTCCAGCGTTTTGTCTGAGGATACGTGGTGGGTTGGGAACTCTAGTGGAATCAGGAGACAGTAAGTGATCAAGGTGTGAGTTAGAAGACAACTAGTTCACGTTTTCATTCAGGTATGAATCTAGATGTAACACAACAATTAAAATGAGATATGAGCACAATAAAGGGGGAAGCTGGGAGAGAAACAGTGGGAAGAGAGAAAGGAGAAGATACTGAGAGGTAGCAGGAGCAGAGTGTACACACACAACATGAAAATAACAGTGAAATTTATTACATACTCTTGAAAAAGGGAAATCCAGACGCAGGTATTAAAAGGTATAATGAGGAGATGAATCTGCTTGAAATACATTCTATGCCTCTGAGAATGTCCTGTTGATGCCTCTTTATACCATTAACATATGCTAATAAAAATGAGTTACAGGGTGAGTTGGTGCTACTTCCCCTGCCCTAGGAATGGTTACCTGTGTAGATAAACAGCAAATTAGATGTGTGTTCCCTATGTGCCAATAAGTAGACCTTGGCTTTTGAGGGCCATGCTGAGAAAATGCGGCATCCTCTGACAAAATGTGCTTTTGTGGCTAGCTGAGAGGGGATGGTGATAGCTGTCTGGTACATCCCTGGAAGGCCCATGCTGCCTACCAAGAATCCTGGCCCTGGGGAACACCTAGGTACAGGCTCCTGTGTGTGCCCTTCAGGACTCCAGTCATTCTTCCAAGAAGGAACTCTTTAATTAATAGGAAGACTTTATGCTGGTATCTGAAGCCCAGGGACCTGGGGTTGTTCATCTGTCTTAGCTTTTGGAGTACTAAGAAACTACCAAAGCATTCATAGACGACTCCACAATGTTGTTTTCCTTGACTAAAGAACCACCCTTTGTGCATTATATACATTGCTTTCAAACTGCCACCCTTTAGCCCAGCACTGGTGGCTCACACCTGTAATCCCAGCTACTCAGGAGGCTGAGATATGAGGATCATGGTTCAAAGCCAGTCTGGGCATGAAAGCCCATGAGATTCTTCCTCCAGTGATCCATAAAAAAAGCCAAAAGTGGTAATATGCTAGCCTTGAGCAAAAAAGGTCAGGGATAGTGTCCAGGCCCTGGTTTCCTGCCCTAGCACTGTCGTGCATACATGCACACGCATACACTTCCCTTCATATCTTTTTTTTTCCCCCATCTTAGCTTTTTTGTCTCACCTTTGCCTGGAAATCAAGAAATACTATTAGTTTCTAAGTTCTACAGAGCAAAAAGTGATAACAAAGTCAGGGAGATGTGGAATCCTGGCCCTGTTTTAAGGCTGTCAGGCCCCCACAGCTTGTTCTGCAGCTGTGTGCATGCTGTGAAGTATGTAGACCTGCATCACAAAGGCTGTGGGAGAGACAAGGAAATGGTTTGAGGTTGGGATAGTCCTGAAGGGTGGGAAGAACTCCCGTGCACAAAGAGAAAATCAGTCATGTTCTGTTTTCAGGCATTTGAATATCTCTAATTATATCTCAACATGACTAAATGTGTTACACAACTTCAAGGTCATATCTTCCATATTAAAAACATTTTTATGTAAGATTATATATTTAGAACTGGTGATATGTATATGCATACACCCACAACTATTCATGTGTTATATCTGTGTGTGTGCTAGTTAAACCTGATTTTATGTCCAGTATTGAGACTTGAACTCAGGGCCTGGCACTCATGTGTCATTCTCTACTCAAGGTTGAAGATCCACCATTTGAGCCACACCTCCACTTCTGGCTTTTTTTTTTTTTTTTTTTGCTGGTTCATTGGAGATAGAAGTCTCATGAACTTTCACCTTCCTGAGTAGCTAGGATTAAAAGCATGAGCCACCAGTGTTTAGCTTAAATACAACAATTTTTTAAAAAAGGAACCCTGTGTTAGGTTTTGAAGCATGGTAGAACCTAGCATTGTTTTTGAGTTTGTAAAGGCTACAGTTGCGTCTCCTTGGCTATATACTGGGAAGGGAAGGAGCAAAAGAGCAGGAAAAGGATGAATGGCAGAACAGTGAGTGGCTGAGTTCTAAGCTGTTCTGGTCACATGACCGCTAGTGCCTGCAGTGGTCATGTTATCTAGTGATGATCTAGTGTTTCACAAAGAAGCAGAGGCCAGGGAGGCCTGCGATCATTGGCTTGGCCTGAGAGCATCAGCGAACTAGTTTCCCCATCCTTTGTACTGTTCCTGTCCTTATCCTTGAAGCATTGTGCTAAGAAGGGGAGCACTTGCGGAATGTGTGTGCTGGAGAGACACACACAGTACACACAGTGTTGAGAGGTATAGACACTCTGAAGCAGTGTAGATAAGAATTTGCTTTTCAATTTGAATTTTAAGCTTTGTATTTTTTAATCAGTTGTGGGGCTTGAACTCCTGCCTGAGCACTGGCACTGAGCTCTTTTTGCTTCAGGCTAGTGCTCTACCACCTGAGCTACAGCACCACTTCTGGTTTTCTGGTGGTTAATTGCAGGTAAGAGTCTTACAGACTTTCCTGCCTGTGGTTGGCTTCAAACTATGATCCTCAGATCTCAGCCTCCTGAGTCACGAGAATTACAGGTGTGAGTCACCAGTGCCCAGCTAATTTTAAACTTTTAGAAAATCATCTTCCAGTAATTGTAAAAAGGGGTAGGCATTAATTTTTTTTTTTTTTGTCGGTCGTGGGGCCTGAACGTGGGGCCTGGGTGCTGTCCCTGCACTTTTCAGCTTAAGGCTAGCGCTTTACCACTTGAGCCACAGCACCACTTCTGGCTTTTTCTGCTTATGTGGTGCTGAGGAATCGAACCCAGGGCCCCATGCATGCAAGGCAAGCACTCTACCACTGAGCCACCTTCCCAGCCCAGGCGTTAAATTTCTTTACCAGAAAAAGATTTACTGAAGATGATCTTAACTTACCATGAAGTCCGTGTATACGTAACTTCAGCCACATGCCCTGTGTGTCACTCCTGTAATCCTAGCTACTCAGAAAGCTGAGATCTGACAATTATATGTGAAGCCACCCGGGGCAGACAAACTGGAGATGGCCACTTAACCAGCAAAAAGTGGGAAGTAGAGCTTTGGCTCAAGTGGTAAAGAGTGCCAGCCGTGAGAGAAACAGCCAAGTGAGAGTGTAGGACCCTCACTGTATCATTCAGTGGTGTGCAATAAATTAGGAAGTTGTTCAGGTACTCCCACAGTGTAGTTTCAAAGCTTTGTGGAAACCTCAACCTCATGTTTATATCCAGCATCTACTACTGCATCTCTACCCCACAGCATACTGTTTTATTCTTAATTTTGTAGATTTGCCCTTTGGGAAATTTTACAAAAAAAAGTCTTGCTCAGTGTGTATTTTTTTGAGGTCCATATGGTAGCTTGTTATTACATTCTTGGTGTGTGTTTGTGTGTGTGTGCGCATGCATGTGTGTGCACACATGTGCTAACACTGGAGCTTGAACTCAGGACCTCAAACTCTTACTTGGATTTGTTGCTCAAGGCTGGCACTTTACCAGCTGAACCACAGCTCTACTTCTTCTTTTTGGTGGTTAATTGGGTACAAGAATCTCTCATACTTGTTTGCCTATGCTAGCAGTGAATTAGGATCCTCAGATCTCAGCCTCCTGAGTAGCTAGGATTACAGGT